TTACCATAATGTTTTGTTGTGTGTCCTATATTTAAATTACTTTCTTGAAGGGTGTTACGGTGTTACCATAATGTTTTGTTGTGTGTCCTATATTTCTTAAAACCAAGCTTATGACAGAAATTTGTGATGGTTAAGAAGGTCTAAGTCTCGGGATCTGTTTGAAATGTCGTCAGTTCGAATCCTGATTTTATCAAATTTCCTGTTTTTCAGCTCTTAATTTTATGGGTGTCTATCGTTTCTGTTTTTTTATAAAGATTGGAGGAAAGTGGCTGTGGTAGGAGTCAAACCTATGACCCTTCCTTGCAAATGCAAGCAACTAAACAACATATCTATCATGATTTTATGATAACTTCCTATAGCTTTCACCCTTCTTGTCAAATGGTGCCACCACATGAAATTTTTTGGTCCGCCTCTCGGGTGGATACCATTAGACTAGCAGTTTTTTTATGCAACCATGGGTGTGAATGAATATGCAATTCTGAATGTAGGAGCTTCTAGAAAGTAATTTTACTTATTCGGTTGTTGTACAAATGCATGGATCCAACTTTTTTGCACCATTATTAGGATGTGGAAGGGATGATGTCAATTTCTGTTGAAGCTGCTGCAGCACATGATTCTTTAAGTGATGATAAGGAGCTCATCAACACGTATGAGGTAAGGGTGCAATGTTGCACAAAATGTTAGAAACTGATCTTATGTTCCAAACATGCTGTCTTGACACTTCGGCTGTTCTTCCATGAACTTGCAATTCTTCCAGAGATTAACTGCCCTTGATGGAAAGAGGAGGTTTGCATTAGCTGCTGCAGCATCTCATAAAGAGGAGGTTGGTAGACTAAGGTCAGGATCAGATTCTCTGATTGATTATGCTGCTCATAATTGATATTGCATATATCCTTTATGTGAATGCAGATCACACTATATGAGATATAACTCTCCATGCGACCCTCATGAAGGCCCATAACATCTTGAAACTGACAATCCTATGTGCAATAATAGGAATGCAGTACATTTTATGAATCCAAAATGGTAGTATGCTTAAGCAACCTGATCACAAATCTTGTGAATCAACAACATATTTTAACCCAGTAATAAAATGATTAGAACATATTTCAATCAAATAGTAAATTGATTGCAATTACCAATGCGGAATATAGATCATAGCCCTTAAAATCTTCCAACTTTTTTCTTTCCAGGGTTTATTTCAGGTAGGAGAAAAAATGGTGTATGTCTATTGAAGAAGTAAAATTCAAACTAACCTCTGGTATCTTACCTGCCCAACAGACAGGTGGCTTTAAATGTTTCTCTATCCATCACTTGGGATATAATACAATAACACATCCAGTCTCTTCGATCAAATTAATGCAGAATTTCAACCTATACTCCTACGATCAATGAACTTTGGCACTCACAAACCCTAGGTCGTTCTTGATGAGATATAATAAGATTCTAATTGAGTAGAACTTCAGGTTCCTATCCTTCTGCTTGTCCTTGGGGAAGGACACACAATTTATGCATTTTTTGAAATTTCAGTTGGGTGCTGATGTTATGAGTATGTGCTTATACCCTTTTGGATTTGCATAAATTGTTAACTTTTGATGATTGTTTGGAACAGTCTGAACAGAGAGGCAGCTTAAAATAGTTTTTGGGTTTGACATTTTTCACATTTGAAATGTCACAGAGAATATTTTGAAGAAGTAGATCGGACTTGGGAGACATTTGAGCAGACCCTATGGTCACATATTTCTAATTTTTTTGAACTTGCTAAAGAAAGGTATGCTCATTTACTGTGGTGTTCCTTATTATACAGGTATCTTTTGTTTCTACGATGCTGTCCAATTTCATGCTACTATTAAGGTGCTACGTATGTTTTCTTAGGTGTCTTGTGGGTGGGTAGCCTACTGCTTTCCTTTTCTGAATGGATATATGTGCAACTGTTCTATTATGCTCTCATTATGAATTCTTTTTTGTTTATGTTGTCTATACAGAGGTTAGTGTTAACTGTTAAGTCAGGAAAAGGGTGGATGATAATTATGTTTGCAGATGTTATGTTTAAAAGCATGAAAAAATTGAGTTACAGATTTTGATATGCAAATTATACACCTTGTAAGCACTGATGCATTCTTGGCGTTTATTAGGACACGTTTACTTACCTTGATATTATGATGAGTGTGTAGGACACAAGCCTAACAGACCTTTGGGACAACTAGAATGCCTTCTTCGTACCTAGGCATCTAGGACCGGTTGACCTCATTAACAACTCTGCCCGACATGGAGGGATGCACTATCATTTCTTGGATCATCTATCCCATACGTCATACATACACATGCACACGTACTGACATACATATAAAAAAGGGTTTCGAGGGCATTACATAAAAAAGGGTTTCGAGGGCATTACCTAGGGCGAAGGATGCATGCATGCTGGAATCCTTAAGCCCTGTATATATAAACATAGGATGTACAGTGTTCAGGTATATACCTAGATCTATGTATAGATTTTATAACAAGAAGTATTCCGAACTTTTGCCCTATCAGTCTCTTTTACAATGTTCCAGAAAGTGTTAAGCGAAGTTAAGTGGTAGAATAATGTTCTAGCTCCTAATTTCCTAAGTGAGGTTAAGTGGTTCGGTTTAATATATAAGACAAGTCAAATTTAGATTATGTAAATACACTAGGGGTCGGGAAGCAAGACTAAGGGGGCGGATCTAGATGGGAGGAATGGAGCTGGAGATATAGAGGGTAGGGGATAGGGTTTGTGAGTCGATGATGCAAACTATTCATCTTTATTCAACGATCAAATTTTACAAATTGATTTCCAGCTTTTCTAGAGAGCCGGATCTCTCCAGAGAGGTTTTTCCTCCAATTTCACAATACAAAACTGATGCCTAATCACTTCTATCCCCTTCTATTTATACTTGTAATCACTTGACTAATTGACCAGCCCCCAAAATTGACTAATTGACCAGCCCCCTATTATCCGTACTATCTATATGTGTAACAATACCCGCCCCCCAAACATCCACCTTGTCCTCAAGGTGGAAAGAAAAAAAATCTTGAGTTTTACACTTCTTGGCTTTGTATTTGTTCTAGAAATTCGTACTTCGGTGTATTCTTGAAATCTTTCGGGCTTGAGAGATAGTTAAAGTCAGTTTTTGGGCTTAAGAGAAGGATATAAATGTAGGCTTCACCGTAGCCTTTGAAGTCCAATAGAATGAATAATCCCCTGGTTTTTCTTTGAACGTACATACAGTTGTTCCAAAAAACATACGCAGATGAAGAACCATGGAAGACTGGTGACAGAGGTGGCTGGGACGATGGTGGTAACAGCAAAAACAACACCGGCGACGGTGGTAATGGCGGTGGCGGTGGTAAGCCATGGTTGTTACCCAACTAAAATCTTCCCATGATGCAATTACTTGTACTCTCTACCGAAATCTTGTTCTTCTTTTCTTTGTCAATTGTCAATACAACCTGGAATAGCCTCTTGCGTGTTCTTCGTTTCTTCTCTGCCGGAGCCTTCTTTGTTGTCGATTTACTCCTCACCGTTGGTTTTGTCTTTGCCTTCCTGTTGTTCTCATAGCAGAATCTTGGGATCTTGAAAATGAAGTGCTGGGATGGGTTTAGGGTTTCAAATTTTGACGGGCTTGATGGAATAGGCTTGGATTCTTTATTTTCCTTCCTCGTGTTTCTCTTCTTGCTCTTCTTCTTCATGGGCCAATTGAGTGGTGTCGTTTGCTTGGATTTTGGATTCCAAATCAAACCTCGATTCGAAATTAAATCTGATTTTGGCTTCAGATTCGATCTTTCTCCTTCCTTGTCTCTCTCATCTTGTTTCTTTTTCTCTTTTCTGCCAAGACCGTAAGTTTGCGATCTTGATCAATTGATTGTTCTTGGACATGATTCAAGTCTTCTTGAATCGATTCCTTTATGATTTTCCAATCTTCTTGAACCACATCCATGAAAGATTTCATCGAAGTAATATCCTCCATCATCTTTTGCGTCATGACAAGCATGCTCCTGGTTAATTCCAGAATTGACTGCATTGATACCATTTGATGCAAACTATTCATCTTTATTCAATGATTAAATGCTACAAATTGATTTCCAGCTTTTCGAGAGAGCCGGATCTCTCCAGAAGAGGTTTTTCTTCCAATTTCACAATACAAAACTGATGCCTAATCACTTCTGTCCCCTTCTATTTATACTTGTAATCACTTGACTAATTGACCAGCCCCCTATTATCCCTACTATCTATATGTGTAACAGTCGACAGTTATGTTTTTCATGTACTTGCTTCCATCTATATTGTTGTTGCTTACTATGAGAAATTTAGCATATTTGTATATTTCTTTCTATTTTAGTGATATTGCTTACTCATCTGGCTTTTCAAGTTTTAGTATTTCTCTCTGTCTCCCTTTCACATCTTCACTAGCTAGGGTCTTCACGGAAACAAATGCTCTATTCTTTAGGATAGAGGTCATCTCTCTTACATCTTATCTGCTAACGCCGCTTCTGGGTGGATATTCTGGTATCGTTTGGTTTGATTTATTTTAATATACTAAACACATGGGAATTAGAATTTTGATACAATTGCTTTTTAGATGACTAGTTTCATTGTATCTTTAATATAGTTACTCATCAATGACTAAATATTCCCTCTAATTTGAGAAAAGTTGACCGAAGTCGTTTACGTTTACTCCCAGCTTAATTATTTGAAACACTTAATGCAACACTACTCAAAGCTTTGAGGGGCACCTAACTCATCGGCAGCAGATTAAGCGGCCCTAAATAATTGAAGCGGTTTGAAGACGCTTAATGCCTTGGCAGCTCCTTAAGCCACCCTAAGCAGGGACTTTTACATCACTGCTCAGCTTCCTCAAATGCTATTCACTCCAAAATTCCTTGGGCCATGTATATGAATGTATGCATGTTTTTGAGTTCTATATTCTACCGTTTGTACCTGATTACTTTAGTTAATACTTGAATCCTCTAGCCTTCTTTCTTCACCTAACCTGATTACTTCGGATGAAGGCTTTGCTGGGTTAACAATATGATAAAAATGTATTATGATATATCTAGATCATGCTTTTGATGAGTACTTTTCAAATGCCGACATGTGTTTTTCAAATACTTATGGACCAACCAAACTGTATTATATCATCTACTACACATGCTTCTTCCTCCATAATCTCTGAATTCACAGTTTTGAATGCATTTGTTCTTAACATGCCTTGCTTCGTAATCTGGAATGATATACTTTTGATTTATGAGTGCCATCATGTGTCTTAATTGCAGCCCACAAACACTTGTACGTGCTTTGAGGTATGTTTATCAGTCAACACTGTTAAGATTATTTTTGGTAGGGTTCATGATTCTTTCAATTACTTTTTTTTTTCATTCAACTGGAAACGTTTTTATCCGAAACTTTAACACCTTTTACTCCTTACTACACTTTCAGGGTTGTTGAAATGCAAGAGATCTTCGATGAGCAAGTTGCCGAAGAAGCAGCTGAGGCTGAAGGAGGTGGTGCAATGGCATCGGTAGCAAATCCTCGTAGAGCTGGCAAGTACGTATTATGATTAACTTTACACGCTACTTAACCTAATCTTACTTCAATCAGGATTATCTTCAGTTTATGTTTTTCGAATCACTCTCCTGTTATTAATGTTATCCTCTTCAGGTCTACAGCTCAATGCATTAACGTTTTTCATGAGTGGTTGTTTTCTCCTGACATGCAGAAAATCTACTACTGCAGTAGCATCTTCCAAGAACCTTGCAGTGCAAAAATCAAAACAGGGGAAATGCTACAAGGATAAATGTTACGAGCATATCACGAAAGCTGTTGAAACAAGATTCAGCAAACTTTTGTCAGAAGTACTTCTTCAACCTATCATGCAATCCAGTAGATGCAAAACACTTCTCGTAGTTTTAGCTGTAGAATCAATGTGTATGCATGCATATTTTATTCATTTCACTATGCTGATCTTTGCAAATCGACCATGGTTTAAATGTCAAAAAGTTATTTATTAATCATTTGAGAGGATGACAGAGGTACTACTGCCTTTACTAGTCATATGAGCAGATGACAAACAAGGGCATTAGTATTACTACTGACTTTATTGTTGTCTTCCTTGCAATTATTCTTCTCCGTGATACCATCTGATTTTAACAGTATTTTTGTGACAGCTTGTCTTTGAAAACCTGAAAGGTGCTATAGAGGAGGCAAAAAAGGTATGCACATTCATTTTAATTTAGTTAAAGATGAGGATAAAAAGTTGACAGGGTTGGTCCATCCCTAAGCAAGCTGTTTCCTCTGTTTATTTCTTTCTCTTGCCAACTCTACGGCATTTATATGTTGATTACTTTCAGATTGGGGAAGAGCTTGGAGATATATATGATTATGTGGCTCCTTGTTTTCCTCCAAGGTTTCTTTTTTAATTTTTTTCCTTGTGCTTTTTGATTTATTGTCTTTCAGTTTATTTAAAGTTCCATTAATGATTTTGTTAGTATCTCGTCTTTATTCCGTTTTATTTTCTCTTTTCATATATTCTCCTTGTATGTGTGTATCAGTAGAATATTCATTTCAATAGCTGGCAGTAAGAAGTAAATTACGATGTCAGGATGGGCTGATGGCTGACTATCTTCTTGAATAGTTTTCCTGGAATGTTCCAAAAAGAAAATCAAGAGCTCACATTGACTGGAAGGTTTGGCACCTTGATGTCGGCTTTTCGCCACCTGGGGCTGGGAGATGTGTGTGTATAAGAAACAGTATATTGCCCTTCCCTTTTGGGCCGGTTGTGGGCGAGGGGGGATTATTGCAATTCAGGACTGTTATTCTTGCATTTTTGAGTAAGTTGCCCTTAAGAACATACATAGTTTCCTTAAGAAGTTTTCATGGCCATCCTTCGATGTTTGAACTAGTCCTAAATATGATGATGAGGTCTGGGGTATGTTTTTTCACATTTCTCTTGTACTAAGGCCCAAGTTAGAGTAACTCATTACATGCTGGTTCCTTTCCTTGGAAGCAGGTTAAACAACACTTCATAATTCTTCTATTTTATGCGTTATGGTAATCAAGTTTCAGAAATAAAATTAGACTGATCATTGTGGGCACGCCTCTATCATTTTAGATTGTTAGGGCATAGTTTATCCACTAAGCACATTTCTAATTGCAAATGTGTTACCTAAAGAGGACTATGTAATTCAAGAACTTTCCCAGATGACTTGATTCTGGATAGATGTTTTCATCGAGGATCGTTCTATATGGAGTTTGAAGAACTATCAGTAGGACATGTTATAATGCCATTGGGGTAACAAAAGGAACCGACTTTTTACCTCCTCTTTTAGGCATAAGGCGATTTTCTTTGTTGTTTTGCGGCTGCAATCACATGATGCATGCTGGGTGCTATGATGGAGATACACTGTAAGTGGTTGGCCTATGGACGTTTCATAGAAACCTAATTACCGCATACATGGAGAAGGCAAATCTAGAAAAATCTGAACTGTTTCCTTGTGGGATGCCCTAGTATTTGTGAACTTGAATATGTTTATAACGGGAATATGTATTTCACAAATAATCTTTGCTTAAGCTGTTTTAACGATTTTCTAATTTGTATTATTCTTGTAGGTATGAAATATTCCAGCTCATGGTGAATCTGTACACGGAGAGGTTTATTCAGTGGCTAAGGCTGCTGAGTGACCGTGCTAATGATATTACAAACATTGAAATCTTAAAGGTATTGTATGTGTAACTATTTTTGTGAAAGTCATCGATGACTATTGCCAAAAGTTTATCTGGATATAGTATTAGTTGACCAATAACTAGGAACCCTTTCTCAAGATGAAGTTTTGGGTAACCTTAAAAAGATCTGTAACCTGGGATAATTCCATCCTATTTCCCTTTTCTTGCGACGGTAATTCATCTGCTAATAACTTTGGGTTTGCAAATCTTACAAAATCCTTTTTATTACTGAAATCAGGTAACTGGCTGGGTGGTTGAGTACCAAGATAACCTGATTGCACTTGGTGTTGACGAGGCATTAGCTCAAGTTTGTTCAGAGAGCGGTGCAATGGATCCCCTGATGGATTCATATGTTGAGAGAATGCAAGCAACAACAAAGGTAATCTTGCAATGGTGTCATTATCTATTGTTTTTGTTATTTTACTACATTATAATAATGCTGATGTTCCTGCTACTTTTTTCTTGGCCATCTGCTTTCATCATCTCAGAAATGGTATATGAATATCCTTGAGGCTGATAAAGTACAGCCGCCAAAATCAACAGACGAAGGAAAGCTTTATACACCAGCTGCTGTTGACTTATTCAGAATCCTTGGGGAACAAGTGCAAATTGTTCGAGAAAATAGCACTGATGTTATGTTATACAGAATTTCTTTGTCCATCATTCAGGTATATACCTCCACTATCTTTGCTAAGAACATGCAAGAGAGCAGCAATTCTTTGTTTATTAGGAGGTGCCAGCTAATCTAGCTTTCTTTAATTGTTTTAGAATCGTTGTTAGCATATTATCATCATAGTATCTGGCGCAAAGGTGAACCATATTGGTAGCCAATGGCAAGAATGCCATGTGATCCGTATGGTGAGAAGTCATTCACTATGTGTTATATAATACTAACATTTGAAAATCCAATAATGTTTGATGTTAGAATAAAATTGAAGTCACAAAAATAGAACACTTACCTCAAAATCAGAAATTTAAAAATAACGTGTTGTACAAATGCAAACAGAAATCAGAACTCCATTTCATGTCAAGTAGTTTATAGATAAAAAGAACAAAGAGGACTTGCTAAAAAAAGTAAATACCAGATGTCAAATAAAATAAATTTGATACTGATATTTCGGAAGACAAATAAAAATAAACTTTCAGAACCAAATTAGCTTAAAATTACAGGATTCAAATAAACAAATAGTGAAAATGCAAAAGTTAGAAGTAAACATGAGTTGAGTACATTGGGGTAATGTGTTGATGCCACGTCTGCTGGGAGGGCAGCATGTGCTATGTGCTGCTCTGTGAAATCAACCTTCAAGAAGTATATAGAGCTAATGTAGAAAATATATTTAATTGATTGATACCCTCTAGAATAGGGAACCAGATCTGTATATTTGGTATAGTTCCTGTATTTAGGGTAATTATAGGCTGTCCTAGAATCCTTGTAATTAGTCTAGCATACTTGGTATTTATTACCAAATTTTCTTATCTGTACAGGGCCTATATAAAGGCATCCTTTTCCTTGAACAATATTCATCCAAAGCCTTATTATCTCTACAGCTTATATGTAAAAGAATAAGTAAATTCTAGTATGATACAAGCCCTCAATCTAACAAATAGAAACAATATCAAGAAATAAGAGAAAACTGACAGCTGCTTGTGAAGAACTGGGGCAGACCAGGAAAAAACTTTCGATTTTCTATGATAGTTAGCATCAATGGGATTTTTTCGTTAGTAGGTTTTTTTTATTAAAATTTTCTTTGATTTCTTCACTCATGAAAGTGAACCACCAAACTCACGGGGACGGCATTCCATTTTGCCACCATCATGCCTCATATGTCGCATGAACAATAATTATCATCTAGAAATTATGAGTAATTACCTGTGTTAATACATTTTTAGGGGTGTATGGCACTTGTCAATTCTTCAAGGCAAGTATAGGTTTCTGTGTGCCCAGGCTTTCCAGGGTGCAGCTAGAGCACCTTGGATTTCTTAGACCTAATCCTTATATAAGATAACTTCTAGCAAGCCTTTCATCACTACCATTTTCTTTCTTCAGCCACAACTGTATAGACTTTTCTAAAATGTTATGGAATCTTTTTGATCCTTGATATTTTTATAGGATTTCATTATGTAAATATTTGAATGATATGTGAAGGGTCATGTAACCTTAGCCCTTGATGCAAATCAATTCAATCGTCCTTTAGGTGGTTGGGACAACTATAAGTAGGGGTGTTCTCATTTGACCAAAGCCACATAAGTAATTGTATACTTTCAAGCATTTACTATAATCATTCTCCGCCCTTCTTGTGTTCTTTGCTTCTTTATCTATCGTTCCTTGTATTATTTGATAGGCCTACTTAGTGCAAGGAAGACGGGTTGTAACAAAGCCTACATAGTGTGATTTGCATAAAATACGAAGTCTGTGGGACTAGCTGGCTCTATGAGTGCATAGGTTCTTAGCATTCTACACTTTATGTTATTTTAAGCTTCTTTTGGAAAGTTGAAACTAAACAATATTTGCTCAAGGCATTGCTTGCTCTCATGTTACTAAGACGAGCTTACTTACTCTCATCAAAAACTTAAACCGACTCAATGGTACAGTTGCTAAACTTGCACATGTGTAACCTAAAACAATGGTATATGTTGTCGTAGAATGGAACTTCATAGAATGTAACACATTCTGTCCTGTATGGTAGAACCATGTAGTCAAGCTAGCTATTAGGTAATAGGCATAACTTCACCTGAAGGTATCAGTAGCTCCACAAATGTATCGGTTGTGTCTTCCTTCACTGCTGTTTTGGAAAAGTGACTTTTTGATAAGATGATTAAGATTATATCATATAATAGAATGAATCTGAATGCAACTTGTTTGAAAATTTATTGTAGGTAATGATTGATTTTCAAGCAGCTGAAAGAAAGAGACTTGAAGAACCTGCTTCCGAAATTGGTTTAGAACCAATATGTGCGATGGTTTGTAATTTTTATGTTTGTATTATAGCTGTTTAAACTTCCCAGAAAATTGAACAGAATCTCTAAAGCAACTCTATTTTTTTTTTTCATGCTGACAGATCAACAACAATTTGCGCTGCTATGATCTTGCTATGGAGCTAGCTTCTAGCACTATTGAAGCCCTTACAGAGAATTATGCTGAGCAGGTCATTCTTCATCCCATCTCCTTTACATGAAAAAGCAAATGATCCTCTTTTCTGATATAGCTTCATTGGTTCAAGTGATCCAAAATCTTGTCTACATTGCTGCTTAGGTAGTTCCAATTTCATAGGGAAAATTATATTGCATCTTTGTGTGACTACTTTATATATAAACGTACCAATACACACCTTGTTTGTTTTTGATTTTTGGATCAAAACTCTGGTGTATCATCTCTAGCTTCTGTTTATTGCTTGGTCCTCCACGTGGAATTTATGTGAATACTACTTGGAGAAACCCAGAGTCTCCTTGAACTATGTTGTTGGAGACAATTTGCATGGTTACTGTTGGTTTTGGTGGTTTTTGGAGGAAGATTGTGTTTTGAGATTAATTTAATTCAGCCATGTATCGGAGATTTAGATCACATGCTGGTTTAATCTGCCGCCTATACATCTACTTGATCATATTCAAAACATTGATCATTTGCAACAGGTTAATTTTGAAGACACCTGCAAAGGCTTTCTGGAGGTTGCAAAGGTATGTTATGCTATACTTGTGACGCCTTAAATTTGCAACAGCAACATAGAGCATGCTACTTTCTGCTGTTCTGTTTTCTGGTTTGCATCGTTGGCTAGCACAGGCTTGTGAAGCTAGTAAACACAAATCTTTAGGTAGTTCTTACTGCTTGGCGATGGACATTATCGCTTGCTAGTAAAAATGACAGAAGTCCATGTTCAAATACCTTAAAGGATATAAGGGGTTTTGTAGCGTCCATAAACTTTAAGGCTTTCAATTTGAAACATTGAATTTGCTATGGAAAAGGCAAATGAATTAGCTTCTATAGTTACCGAGGTTCTCTTTTTACCGAAAAAGGCAACTTGAATGAGCTTCTCTATTTGCTGTTAGTTTTTGATCTACCAAAGAATAATTGTGCTTATGATATTCTAAGTGGTACCACAATTAGGATTCATCTAATAGCATAGTACTTGGGATACTATGTAGAGCAGTCAAGATAATATAAAAATTATACCCTTCCTAGTTCCTTACAGTCTCCTTCAAGTTCAGGTGAACATGTCCAGCTTGCAACAAATGCAATCTCGTTATCCACAAATGACCTTGTGAGAAGGTCGCTGCCCTGTAAGGCAGAAGAGACAAAACCCTGTAGAACCATCTCATGTCATAGTGATTGCCATCCTCTAGAAAATGCGGAGAATGGATAGAAACTGAATAATATATATAATCTAATCAAAGTCAGTATTAGCTAGAATAGATAGAGGCTATCACCTTCTTACAGGTTCAAAAGTTGTGTGATTTAACTATATAAACAACACACACATGCATATACTCACAAAGAAATGAAAATACAGAAAAAGAAAGTGTTCTGCTCGATCAAACACTAGCCTAGCAGTTGGTCTATATCGAGGCCATACAAGAGCCCTATCACAATTTAATGTCATGTGGGTGTCAAATTCTTAGAATTGATCTTATGCTCTAAAGGAATATTATCAGATCATTATTCATGGGATGCAGAGCCCTAACCTTGTTGAGAAATATTTTGAGGTATCTCAAGCCTCTGACCTTGGTCATAGTTGTACCTTGGTCTCATGCCTGAGACAATCATCTATTTTGGTGATGATCTAGCATATTAAACCCATGATTTTATTTACTATTATGTTATCTCTTGTGCAAAACCCTTCTATATTGACCTTACCTAATGAATTTAGGAAGCTGTACATCAAACCGTCAATGTCATATTTGACGATCCAGGAGTGCAGGAACTACTGGTCAAGCTGTATCATAAAGGTAAACATTTTCTTTTTATTTAATTTAAGTTACTTTCCTTTTTCTCTTGTATATTATTGCTGTATCTGTTTTAGTCTTTGGGTATTTATTAAAAGATCTGCGTGCTAATAGGTCTACGAATAGTAACTTGTGGTAGAATCAAAATCTTTTTTATAAACTATGGATATGTATTTTGTATGATAAGTGGAAGACAAGATGTGGTTTAATGGTCTCTTTTCAAGTGACATTTTGAGCCTCAGCCGGTTAAGCTGCTGCCTTTAATCTATTATCTCCCCATGTATTGCATGCTTTCTTTTCTATGGAGGACTCAAACAAACATCAGCTTCACATATACCTTCAAATTGAAGTTTGATCATACTTCATATGTATACAACTCAATTTTCACTATGTAAGGTTGTGCTAATTTTTGTACTTTGTTATTCCTTTGCATATTGAATTGTAGCTCTGGTTAGTGAGGCTAATTGAGCAACTACACTACAAGTTATCGGTGCAGGGATATTGGGAGCCATCAATTATAAGATTATGAATTGGTGTGCATTTGTCTATATGCTAGAGATTGATGTGTATGTGTATAATACAAGTACAAAACCAAACTGATAAAAGAAGAGATTATGTTTATAGTTCATTCTTACAGAAAAAGAACAATTTTATGTACCACTTTCTATTCCAAAAGGCATGGGCACAAGATTTGGACAATATATTTACTGATGACTTAGTGGCCGTTTACCAAACGCTTACCCGGGTAAGCGTTTACCAAGTCACATTACCTTACCGGATGAATATGGTAAGGACCAAGAATCTTACCCGGTAAGAGCGAGGCATAGTCATGAACCCGAGTTCGAGCCCTGGGAGGGGAGTGTTGGCGACATTTAAGTGGGGCCATGTTTAACCTCCAAATTTGCCGGGGATTAGTCGGGTTTTGGCCCGGACACCCTTACAAAAAAAAGAGCGAGGCAAGGACCAAGAGTCTTACCCGGTAAGTGAGGGCGACAACTCTTACCACGGTTAGCGGTTACCGGGTAAATTGTTGCATATAATAGCATTTTTGTTTGACTAAAATCTTACCAGATAAGTAAGTGATAGTGTTGAATTTTTCCGGTAAGCGCTTACCGGTTAAGCGTTTGGTAAACAGCCCCAAGTTCTTAGCATTTGAATGGTGGTAGTATTATAATATAGAAGACATAGAACAGTGAGCATCAATGTATTCCACTGGCTTAATATATGCTATGCAACAGAGTATCTATATAGTATATACGGAGATAAACCACATGATTGAGCTTAAGCCTTATCTTTCTTTTAGTTATAATTATTGCCCTCATAAAAGACTAGAACGTTGAGGAAAAACAATTTGTTATTCTGTCTAGGCTCGCCTTCTTTCTCTCTCTATCCACGTGGCTATTAATCTTTGAATGGTCCTCCACACATTTAAAAGAAGGATCAAAATTACCCTTTCTATATCTCCCATATTTGTGCTAAAGGATTAGGGGATACAATCAAAACCACATCTTGTCTGCACCCGATATGGGGATTTGACAAGGGATGAAGCATCACTGCATCCTAACCTGAGCAAATATTAAAAGACCTGATAATGATATTACTTCTTCTGATTCAGGTGAACAGTATTCCCTGCATGAATTTTTAACGCGATGGTGATATTTTACATCAAACAAAAAATGTGAAATAACTGTAGGGGTTTTGAGAAGATAAGATGTGGATTGTTGTTTCTTTAATATTGCCTTGAACTATCGTTTACTTGTTCTATCCTATATGCAGAATGGAGTGAAGGACAGGTTACTGAATACCTAGTCGCAACATTTGGTGATTACTTTACAGATGTGAAGATGTAAGTTTTCGAGTCTAACGTTAGTAAATCATCCTTTCACCTAATTCAATAGCCTTGTTGTTTTCCCAGTATGGAGGCTGATGCTTTTTTAATTGAAGACAAATGGTTTTTTTGAATCGAAAAAATTCAGGTATATCGAAGAAAGATCATTTAGGCGATTTGTTGAGTCTTGTCTGGAACAAACAGTCATTGTTTATGTCGACCATCTTCTGTCTCAGGTTTCATGGGATGATCTTTCATGTTTTTGACTTTGTAGCTTACTTATTTTATGATGTAAAATGATGGTCAGAATGGCTCTGTGTTGTAGAAAAATTACATCAAGGAGGAAACTATTGAACGAATGAGGCTTGATGAAGAGGTTCTTATGGATTTCTTCAGGGAATACATAAGTGTTAATGTAAGCTACTTGTTTGTTAACAACTTAATGAGCTTATTTGGTCAGCTATACATGATTGTTTGGTAATGGCATAATGATATAGTAACTGGCTTATTTGGTAAACTTTTAGGGGAGAGCTTGTGCAGAAAAACCAAGTTTTTTTCCAAACCTGCCCCTTTCAATTAAAGAACACGCTCTTTCCATCTACAAAAAAACCCTCCCAAACAAAAACCCTCCCAATCCATACAAATTTATCCACACAGTCAGCTTTATCTATATAGGCTTAATGAAAAACCAACCAAAATTACCCTAATAATAAAGAAGATTCTGAATTAGGTAACAGATATTCTGTTCTAAGAACAGGTATATTCTGTTGTACAATTCTATCTAATCTTCATGTTTTCAAACTTGCTTTTCTATTTTATTTTTATTTCTATTTCCTTTGTATGAACTTGCTTTTCTTGCTTCTAGATTTTAAATTTGATGTCCATGTTACCTGCAGAAAGTCGAAAACAGACTCAGGATACTTATTGACTTGAGAGAGCTTGCCTCAGCTGAGAGCCCAGATACTTTCACTCTTGTTTACACAAATATCCTTGAACATCAACCTGATTGCCCGGTAAGTATCAATTACCAACATTTACTTTGCTAATATGTCTGTCTGTGGATTCAATTAATCCATTGTGTTGTGGTGCAGCCTGATGTTGTTGAGAAAATTGTTGGACTGCGAGAAGGAATACCACGGAAAGATGCCAAGGAGGTACGTTTATTACTGAATTTTTCACCCTTTATTTCTATTCAAAGTTGATGTTTTTTAGTGTGATTATTAAAGAGGGCAAAGGACCGTGTGAGAAGGAGAGTTAGGTGAGAAGCGTAAGAATGGGATCTGGACCCTTGATCACTTCTAATCTCTTGCCAATCCATAAATTGCACTTCTCACAGAAATTGATCCGGTGCATCTCATCCTAATGTGCATCCAAGGGCGGAGATCCCTTACGCTTCTCATCTTAGCTCTCCTTCTCACAGAACCCAACCCATTAAAGAGATCATCACATTGCAGTGTCCCTTATATTATAAATAATTGTGTGACCCTCTCTTTGGTTCAATTTAATGTCCAATGCAAAAACTGTTGTAAATAAATACTCCCCTCCTCCGTCCCAAAATAAATGTACACAATGAAAAAGACACAGTTTTAGAAATATGTAACTATTACACTTTTCAATTAACAAAAAGACAATTTTACCATTAATTAGAGAGAGAAATTTACTATTAACAGTGGACACTTATTTTAGAACAAACAAAAATAGTAATGTAGACATTTATTTTAGAACAAACTAAAATAGTGATGTAGACACTTATTTTTGGACGGAGGGCATACCAAAAAACAATAATCCTACCTTTGGTAGAGGCAAAGTCAGCATACAACTTACCCTACATTTGTGTGAGATATACTGGTTTTTCTTGGTTTAGTTCCAATCAACAACAATATAACTTGTGGGTCAAAAAAAAAACAACAATATAATTTAAACTTGAAGGGGGGAGCAAATCGAGAAGTCCTTTGAAAGATAGGGCTTCCCAGAGAATTTTGTGTCTTTCTATTTGGAAAGTCAAGTAAACACCCCTTAGCCTCTCCTTTCAGTTGAGTGGCAAGGAAGGTACAAAGGCATTTAGATGTTTGAATAACAATCAACTAGGGTCAAATGGTTAATATCTGAATTCTGAACTGTTATTTTGATCCGAAACCAGGTCGTTCAAGAATGTAAGGAAATTTACGAGAACTCCTTGATTGATGGAAATCCCCCGAGGGCAGGTTTCGTGTTCTCCAAATTGAAGTCGTTGACGACATCAAAAATCACCAATATTTTTCGAAAACTTCATTAAGTCAGTAGTAGTCAGCTTGGTGTATGTATTTATACTATTATTGTGATTTTGGACAGATTTTCTTTCCCTTCAAAACTTTTACAGCTGTCTGCTATGTTATTATTTCAAGATTAGATTTCATATGGACATAGAATCCAGAATTTTGGTAAGTAAATATTTGTGATTATGACTTATGATTTGATTCTTTATTCTATTTTACGTCTGTGTGTGTAGAATGGCATTTTTTTTTACTTTATTCTCTTTCATGTTCACCAGTTGGGAAGCCTAAAAGAGACGTTTTGTTAGTTGGTGGTCTAAATATAACATGTGAATCTTATGCACATGACATCATTGTTCCAAAGAATCTGTAAGTACATTGTTGGGGTGGTGCCTGATTGGTTTGAGCTTGGCTCTAAAGGTCAAAAGTACCAGGAGGTTTCAGGTTCAAATCCAAGGAGGAATAAATTCCTTTTGTGGCCATGGAGGTTCAAATGTGGTGACTCCGGGTTATCTGCAAAACAGGTGGTCGTTCTGGGATTAGTCGGCTCGCATAACTAGTTGGATATCCAGGTTAATAAAAAAAAAGTACACCATGGGCTAGACGCCAAAGGATGTGTTTTATATTGGGTTCCGGCTTCCCTGTTCTTGGGCTAACTGATGTGGTAACAAAAACTCTTGAAGAAATTCTTTGAACCTTTTTGGTTCCAAAAGTCGATGCGCTTAACCACAAGGGTGGTACCTGGTTGGTTTGAGTTTGAGCTCCAAGGGTCAAGAGTACCTGGAGGTCTCATGTTCAAATCCAATAAGTAATAAAAATCCCCTTGTGGCCACGGAGGTTCAAATAGTGACTCCGGGCAAACCCGCAAAGCAGGTGGTCGTCCTGCGATTAATCGGTCGTATAGCGGGTTGGATATTCTGGTTAATAAAAAAAAAGTCGATGCCCTTCTTTCTCTATATAAACTCCCGTTCCTAATGTAGTTGATGGTATTCTTTACCAAGTATCCATGACAATGTAGATGTATAAGAATATATCAATTATGGCCAAAGAATATATGTTGAACTTAAATCAATTAAATCAAAGCTCGCGAAAAATAATTTATGTCAAACATTATATAAGATGTCTTCATCTTTTGAATATGTGAGGATTTTCTATGTTTTGGATGTAAGGTTAGTAGTTGTTTTGATATATGAGGATGAAAGAGGTATGTTTTGGAGTTTCTGAAAATTAACTTTCACAAAAGAGATTGAGAATAACCACCATGCTTCTAACGTAAGTACCTCTCTATTTTGTTTTTGACTTGATTTCTTCTGATATTAAGGCCAAGTTCCTTATAATGATGTTTTTGACTTTTAATTGTTAGGTTAAGAATAACGATAAGCACACTATAAACATGCAATTAAAGATGCAAAAATAAATAAGAAGACAAGGATTTACGTGGTTCATACGATCAGGGTGATCGTGCTAGTCCATGGTGAACTAGAGAAATTTTTATCAGGCTTTTGTCATCACACATGCTTTCTGCCTAGGGTTACAAGGTTATAAAGGGATCTACTTATAGATAATAGTTGACCTAATTCTGCTTGTGGACCAGACCCCAAAAGCGCATGTCGCCTCTATGGCTAAGACTGCCTAGCGACAATGAGGTCATAGAGTAGATCAGATTCCACAACTCAACAATCTTCCATTTGGAGGCTGATCAACCAATCTGTTTTCATCTGAAACATGTACTTTGTAGACCTCATTTCTCTGTAGTCTGCCCTTTCCCATCAAGCTTCTGGAAGGACAATTGAAGCCAAAGCTTCAACTTCTCTATTGTCACAACCTTGGTTAACAACTTAACGTATCTGCTGGATTCTTTGTACCAACGATCTTTTTCAAGCTTAGGGTACCATCCCTTATTAACTCTAATAAAATGGTACCTCCTTTTGATGTGTTTCAATCCTTTTGTGAAACATTGATTCCTTGTGAGGTCAATTGCACTATGGTTATCACAATACAAAACACAGTCTTCTTGTTCTATGCCTAACTCGGATAAGAAGTCCTTCAACCAGGTAAGCTCCTTGCCAGCCTCTACAAGGGCCATATACTCAGATTTTATGGTTGAAAGAGCAACATTATTCTGTAATTTGGACATCCAGCTAATGGTTGTATCCCTAACTTAGTGATGGTTGTATCCTTAACTTAGTGATTGATGATGATTCTTTGAATGTAGTGAAAAATACTTGGTTATGTTTTATTCAGTTTCAACGATCATCACTGAGTCTGTTTAGTGATCGCTGAACATGTATTGTAAACTTTTCTAACGAACAAGTATTCTTCAAGAAGATCCTCACACCAAAGAAACCTTCAACAATGTCGAAGATAAAGCTGAAAACAGACACAAGCAGTTCATGATCTGAAGCAGTTTCAATGATAACAAACATGTCTACAATCAAGTGTGAAGTCTATTCAAGATTCAACGAACACTAAAGAAACTCTAGAGTTATGTCAATGTCACCGATCAAATGAATCTTGCTCTACAAGATTAGTTTTTGTTTTATCATCCTGCATACAAAGGACAACCCCATACCTCTCAAAGTAAAACACATATACAGAGTTACTCTATTGCCTCCAAGCATACTTACCTACTTTATGAAAGACCATTGTTTATATACAGTAAAAAAAACCTATACATTTGAAGAAAAGGGACAAACTCACCTCTAGAAGTTTGTCACGTGTTTTGTACTCTTTGACTTGCATTAAATGCAATGGGTATAAATAGCTAAAGAGACTCTCTTCTCCATACCGTGAAGCTAAGCTTACATACAACAAAGAATAGCACATACATGCAAAACTAAGCTTACTCTCAAGCAAAGTTATAACATCTTCTCAAGCAAAAACTTTATCTCTTGCTTTTCTGTATCTTTTGTGCTTTCTAGATCATTTAGATAAGTTATGTATCTTATCTTCTTCCGCAAACAATCTGTAAATTCTGCATTGATCTTCTAATATCAATAAAGGATTTTAAAAAGTGAAAATTGTGTGTTTGTATTCATCTCCCCCCCCCCCCTAACAAAATGTTATCTATACACTCTTGTAGATCCATCTAGGACCGACAAGTGGTATCAGAACAATGTTTATTATCTTCTTTCTTTAAGATAGTTTACTAACCATTTTTCTTCAAATGGCTTTATAAAACACAAACACAAACTTTCATGACAATGTCTCTCTTACCAAACCTCCCCGATTCATCAAAGACAACTTCAGTCTTTGGAAGAATCAGATGTCCATTTTCCTGGAAGGTGTGGATCCTGAGATTCCATAATATATTGAGAATGAACCTTATATTCCATTCTCAATATCTACAACAATTCCTACAACTGCTACGACTGCCGCTATTCCTAAGAGGCAGATTTCATAGCTCCCTCATCAATGGAGTGATGAGGACAAGAAGAAGATGACTTTAGATACTAGAGCATATCTATAATATCCTTGTCTCTTCTTGACGAGGTTTATCACTCGGTAATGAAGCTAAGAACCTCAAAAGCCATGTGGGACACGCTATGTGTTCAATATAAAGGTACATCTGATGTACAAGAGTCTAGGAAAATAAATATGTGAGACAAATATGAAAGTTTTCTCTATGGAAAATTTGAATCTTTATCTAAAGTACACCAGCACTTTAATTGTTTTCTTATTGACCTTAGGACAGTTGGAAGAGAATATTTCATCTCTGAAACACTAACAAGATTTCTAGAATGTTTGCCAGAATCATGGGATAGCTATACCATGTGTCTCAAGATGTCTAAAAACATGTCCACCCTCTCTCTTAGTACTCTCTATGGGATCTTGCTCAATCATGAGCAATCCCATCAACTGGAAAAAAAAATCTCCTCAAAGATTCAAAAATTATGAAAAGCTCTCATGTAGTTTTGATCTCTGAAGCTCTTTCAGCGACCACTCCTTCTCCTTCTATCACTGAGTTGGATCCATCTAACTCTAAGGATTTAACAGAAGTTGACTTTTCAGAGTTTGATGAGTTTATGACCCTTCTCACTAATTCTTTTAGAAGGTTTGCCAGAAAAAGTAACTTCCACAAATCTTCTTCTCTAACCATCGCTGATAAGCCTAAATCAACCTCGATTGATAAAGCTTTAGCGATCTGCTTTAATTGTCAATGCAAAGGACACTAGTGAATGCAGGTCAAAGAGAGCTTCAAAGCCATCTTCCACCACCTCATCCTCTTTCAAGTCTAAATATGACAAATATTATTGAAGCTGAAGGAGAAGTATAAGAAGATGAAGAACCACCAACGTTAGGGTAAGGGATTCATCGCTGAAAAACATGACTTGGTTGATTCATCTGACGAATCATTCTCAGATGAGAAAGACACTGTTAGATGGTGTGTATTTAAAAACATTCAAATCAGAATATAGCGGAAGCAAAACAAAACACACAATCTTCCAAAGATCAGGTTACAATTAGAATATAAGTAATATGAAATAATACAAGAGAGGGTTAGAAAGACCTTTTCATGATTAGGAAGAATCCAATAGCAGGAAACTCTCTATCAGGAGTACACCCCAAAGATCCAATCACGTAGGCAGCAAAACCACTCCTTTTCATTTGCGATCACCAAGAAAAACACATAATTGAATTTGATTTGTTCGTTGGATCGGATTGGATCCATCCAATATTTTGATCCAGTTTCCAACTAATTAATCTACCATCATTCAAATACAGGTCCGTTACTGACATTTTTTAGGCACTGGGCAAAATATAAAAAAGGTCCTTGATATGTACGGAAAGATTTTCAATATAAACCACAAGGGTGGTGCATGATTGGTTTGATATTGACTCCAAAAGTGAAAAGTACCAGGAGGTCTCAGGTTCAAATCCAAGAAAGAATAAAAATCCCCTTGTGGCCACGGAGGTTCAAATGCGGTGACTCCAGGCTATCTGCAAAGCAGGTGGTCCGCCCTGTGATTAGTCGGCTCGCATAGCGGGTTGGATATCCAGGTTAATAAAAAAAAAAGATCTTAAATATAGTGTTTTATCATCAAATAACATTGAATTTAAGAAAAATATTAATATTTCATATAGAACTGTTTTTTCGAGTATTCCTAGACATAAAATCACTTAATATTTGTTTTTAAATAAATATTATTTACCATATCATTTTTACATATCATTGTCAACCCGTTCCACCATAGA